CGGGAGACGCCGCTTCAGCACGGACCGGGGCCGCGCCGGGCCGGCGGGCAGACCGTACAGCGCGTTGTCTTCTTTACCTCAGTCTCGTTGGGAGAGAGGAAGTCCCGGAGCCCGGCTGGGAGCCATGGCCGCGGTGGTGGCCAAGCGCGAGGGGCCGCAGTTCATCAGCGAGGCGGCGGTGCGGGGGAACGCCGCCATCCTGGACTACTGCAGGACGTCTGTCTCGGCCCTGTCGGGCGCCACGGCGGGGGTAAAAAAAAAGCACGGCTTCATCTTCTACTTCCTGGCTTCCGTCCTCCTCTCCGTGCTCTTGGTGTTAAAAGCCGGACGGCGATGGAACAAGTACTTTAAATCCCGAAGGCCGCTTTTCACGGGGGGGCTTATAGGAGGGCTCTTCACGTATGTCCTGTTCTGGACTTTCCTGTACGGCATGGTTCACGTCTACTAAACCGACTAGGAGCCGCGTTAGCCGCAGCGGTTTTTAATGAAGCAGGAGGACTGTTGCCAAAAGTCACCTACACAACTAGGCCAGCTTACCTTTTAAACTGTTGTTCATCGCTTGTATTGTTAATACTGTCGGTAAATTATGTCCAAGTACAAATGAATCGGTAGTACTGTTCCAATTAAACTGAATGTGAAACACCGCTTGGATGCCTCCGATATTTGTCTGATGGTTAAGGAATAACTTCTGTCCCTAACTGCAGGCACAGCCATGGGTTTTGGTTAAGGTAGTCCCTTGTGTCCATTGTGTTTTGGATAAGACACACCAGTTACAGTCCCTTCTAGATTTGCTGCCTGTCCCTACACACAAATACTGATAAAAGCAGTGTATAACACAGCGCTCTTAAATAATCCACTGACACAAGGCAATACTGCACAGTAGCATGTAATTAGGTGTATGTGAAGGTTCGGTACAGAAATGTAATGGAGTTGCTCGTGTAAATGTTATTTCCACAAGTGATATATGTGTACACGCTATCAGTAAATGACACTGTCATGGATACTTGTCACTGGCATACGCAAAATTCAGTAAGTAATGGTCTCACAAGTCAAACATTTTGCTGCTTTTTTAGTACCCTTGTGTCCAGAAACACAACCGGGTAAGAGCAGCGTCTTACTACCTGCCAGCTCAGACTACTGAACACACGTGTCAGCCTGCTGGCGTTTTCCACAACTGAACAGTGTGGTGGTGTTCCATAAGTCTCTGGTGCGAACAGAAATGAAAATTCAATCACCTACCATACAGGTCATATCTTTGCTGTAGACCTGCTTGTGCAAACTTAGTGTTTAACTGACCTGCTTAGTGTAGGTGTGTATCACAGAGAAGGTGGTGTGTGCAACCTAAAAGCCACATGGTACAGAAGAGTCTTGGAGAACATTGCCCTAAAGTGGCCAATTTTATTGCTGAACATTAAATACAAGGAGGGGAAAAAAAAAAATCAAAGAAACAAGCTCCTGAGAAGGAATCTGGTTATGTTTTATCAACAAACAGCAATGGCTTGGGGATTTGTGTCAAGCAGGAGGTATAAAGAAGGGAAATATTCTAGGGACTTTTGGGGGCCTGCAGCCCCTGAAGACTTAAATTCAGGAAATAGCTTTGGTCATCTAACAAGAGGATGGTTTGTCAAGTTGAAGCATTGGTTTCAGTAGATCATGGTCAGCTTTACGTGTTACAATGAGCTACTTGGTCTCTGTGAGTTGTGCCTTGGCCTGCTGTCACGTGTGGGGTTCACCATGTGTTTCGCCATCTAGAAATTACTCAACTAGAATTAAGATCTGACAGTGAAAAGCCCGTGCCATTTTCTTGGCAGGGTAACTAATAGGCCTGACTAGCACAGCTACGTGGTGACTCCTGTTTGCCCAGAGGAGAGAATTCTGGCACAAAGAGAGGAGGCTTTGGATGCGATTATAGCATCAGAGGTACACAGCTTATCCAAAATTATTTTAAATCCACTGTTTAATTGTTTTCTCACTAAATGCTTGACTAATTACTTGCATCTGAACAGAAGCAGAGGGAGTGGACGAGACTGGGTGGGGTTTGCTATCAGTGACTGGACTCAGAGTTTGCTACTGCTAACAAAGGTGAGGTTTAATTTAGAATCATCAACACGTATGTCGGAGTAACCACCTTAAAAAAGTTAAAGCAAAGGTGAGTACAGCTTGCTGCTTCCATGCGTGTGCGACACTCGATGACTGCAGCTCCCTGTAACGCCACCCTCTCTACAGCTGTCCCAGCAGTACACAAGGACGCTGCAGCAGGAGTCCTTTAAATCCCAATATTCAAAGAGTGCACAGAAACACGTAATCTTTGTCATCGTGACTCCTGATCAAGGGTGACCAGGCAGCATCTACAGCCCACTGATCAGTTTGCACCAAGCCACAGTGTGGAAGCTTTAAATGAGGCAGGAATTCACCTGCTGTCTTCAGGAGCTGGCACATCAATTCCTGTCAGCTCAGGCAAATGCAAACTTTAGAAGTAAATCATAATATTCTATAAGCACTTTTCTGAGACTAGTTACATCCCCACATGAGCATAAATTCACAAAGTGGGCTGCAATGAGATGAAGCACTGGTAGTTCTTGGAAGTTACCAGAGTGTTGAAATAGTGGACATCTGCCCTCTAATTTTTCCTCCTGTTGGTGTACGTGGAAGAACCTGGCAAAACCTGTTTTGCCTGACAGAGCTCCCTGTTTCAGTCTCTGCAGTACAGTTCAGGGTACTACAAAAAACAGCAGCAGCATTAAGGGCCCTTCCAGCTCTCCCCCCACCATGAGCCATCGGTAACGGACGTGGAGAGGACAATCCCAAGCAAATGAACCCAGCCACTGAACAAGGGGGCAGAACCTACGACCCTCTCCGTGCAGATACTCCAGCGCCACTTCCCAGCATGCTAACCCCTTCCCCGCCGACAAACCCCTCTGTCCCTGCCTTGCTTCAAAACGCTCCGCTGCCTGCTGTTACCTGGTCTGTGCTCTCAAATGCCGGTTCTCTGGGCCAGCTACAAAAGGAGACAGCGGGTAGCAGGTGAGGTAGCGCGGCCCCAGCCACGGCCGAACCAATTCTCTGTTCAGAGCCGCAGCAGGACCTTCTCCTGCTGTTCCTGAGACGAGCAGAGCACCTTGTTGCAGCTGCTGCGAAGGCTTTTCCCGGAGGAGCACCGTTTCTAGCCCTAACGGTTACAGACACACAGAGCAATAAGAGTAATCGCCCCCACTGTGACACGGGCCCAGCCAGCACGGGCGGTGTAGTGTAATCATCCCTTTTCCCCCGGGCTCTGAGAGCTGCTGAAATGCTGCATTTCATTGCACTTCCTGACAGGAGCAGTCCTGCTGCTTTACATCTAATCTTGCAACACGAGCGAGGGCTGGAAGCTGTGGCCACAAGCCAGTGGAGCAGGAGACAGGTTGAATCTCAGCCCTCCTCAAAGCACCAGCGGTGTTTCACGTCACGGCTCTTCCGCACGTGGAAGCAAAGCACAGCCACAGGATAACGTCGGCTAATTGACGTAGGTACAGATATATCAAGAAATATAAAAACATTCATTTAGTGCCTTCTTTTTTAGTTTTATAAAATCCTTTTATAAATCCATAGCGACGACACACTGTCGCAAGCTCAGGATACCAAAGAACATCTTGGGGAAAGAAGGGAGTTCTTTAAAGGGCTTTTTTTCCCTCTGGGAATCCCAATAACAGACAGCAGATCTGATCTGGGGTCTCTCCACCTCCCAGTCCTGGTGTGATTTCAGACCTGCGTGTTTTTCCTGGAATATGAGTCCAGCTGGCAGACCCACTGCGGTGCCTAGAGCCTGTCGAGCTGGTCAGGGCTCTGATTCCCATTCAGCGTCGGGTTAGATAATGATTTCCTGGAGCTGGACCTGAGGAAACAAGCAAAGGTGACAGATAAGGTGAGCAGGCTATTTCTGTTTCAGGAAGCAACGCTGGCAAGAGGTTCCCAGCCAGCCCATCACACCTTACCACAACGGCCGTCACCCTCCGCACAGCTAAAGCCCCAGTTCTCAGTTTCGTGAGGCTCTGGCGCTCTTGGAGCTGCCCCAATTCCATCCGCAGTCACTACGAACCGACAGTACAACGCTGTTTATAGCCCAACCATGACACGGCAGCTTCCTTTGCTCCGCAGCTAACTGCAGTGATGGATTACGGAGGGAGGGAGTAACTTGGCTAAACTCATTTGGAGGAATATAATTTCCTGGAATTGGCCGTTGTTTGCCATTAATGGTTACTGTGTTCCCGTATCTCCTTCTATTTCTACTAGTCATAACAATAAAGCCATTACATTTAGGCACAAAAGCCAAGCTCACTTACTTACTTTACTTCCTCATACTTTTTGCCTCGATAAAAGTTACTCTTTTTAATCAGATACAGCAGCACCAGGTCGCACAAGAAAGCTCCCTGCAAACAGAAAGAACTTGTGTTTTATCGTTAGAGTGGAAGAGGAATTGTTCTGATCTAATTAGCAATGAGCATTAATTAAAGAAGAATAACGTAGGAGCTGTATTTTCCTTCACACTCCACATAATCATGGGGTATTTCGACTACAAGGTGCATTAACAAATGCCTTTAAGACAGGACACAAACATGCACCTGACTGAGCAGCCACAGTAGCAAAAACTCTGTGAGAAGCTACAAACAAACCATCCCATTTTATCCTCCTGACAGCTAAATGCGGGACCTGGGTCCCAGTGCGTTCCTTTAAGAAAATACATTCACTTACCACTCCCATGAGAGCAAGCCCCGAACCGATATTGATAATGGTGGGAATGATGTTAAATTTCCCTGCCTAAAAGAAAAAAGGTCATGAAGTACTGGGTGAAAGAACAACCCAAGAAACAAACTTAAGGGTGTGGTATTACACAGGGGAGCTACTAGTGCCTGTGGGTGTGTGTTGCCAGCAACAATCCTGGATGCTCAAGGTCTGTCGGTCTCAGACCCAACTGTCCATGGCTGCATTTTGGAGCTTGCCTTATCCCTGGATTAGGCTTCTTTTTTCTGCAGTGCGTGTGCACGGAAAACAAGGGGCATATTTCCTGCTGTCGGACTTTACACGAGCCTGGTTTTAGGTAGAAGAGATGCAGGCTCGTCTCCTTTCTTATGTAGGGTTAGCTCCACATGGATGAAGGGTAAGAGCCCTTTCCTACGACAAGCCAGAAAGGCTGTTCCCATCCCAGAGCTGCCTTCCCACCGAGAGATGTCCCCCACCTTTTTTCTCTCCAGGCTTAGAAATATTCTGGCCTGGAACCTCACCTTGCCATTCACCATCACAACAAAGCGGATTCCATATGCTTTAATGAGCACCCGGTAGTCGATGCCCTCAGAATCCCGGTAATATTTGGCAAACCTGGAATACAACAATGCCAATTTTAACTCCATCAACTGCATCCCTCACACAAGAACCCATCTGAATTCACCTATCTCTTCGAACAGATCTATTCCCCCGATCAGAAACAGCTTTAGCTCACCACGAGCACGACTCCCTCCCCTCCTCTGCGGAAGCAGCGTGCTTGGCTGGGGCAGTGTCTGGCATGACCTGGTACGGCTTCACTGCCTACCACCACCACCAGCCAGTCAAACCAGCTCAGCCCAGCTGCGGTTCTGCATCACCTTTACCTACCTGAAGTTGTAACCAGAAGAGACGGACTTTTCTGCAAACTTGTTATCCAGCCGGCTAAAAGAATAGTGAGGATTACATTCAGAAGGGGCTTTATCAAGATCACAGTTCCATTCAATCTGAATTCCTATCACACCACCCTTAACAAAAGAGAGAGACAGTGTGAGTTTTTTAAGCTTAGTTCAATTAATGTGTCTTCAAATTTGTCAGATCCTTGGGCAAGTTCTCCCTGGGGACAAAAACAGCTGCATTGCTGGTCAGAGACAGGAGCACACACACTTCTGGATGGGCCAGGTTCATGCTTATGGTATTAGCCACATTACTCTATACACAACCCTAGTTTTCCCTGTGCTGGCATCCTAGGAGGAGGTTTCTCATTTCAGGACACTGATTTCATTAATTTAAGTGGCTGTAAAGCACTTCAGTGGAGAAGAGGCTCTTTTACACAGGGATGGGGTTCACAAATGCAGAAGCCAGCACAAAGCCTCTTCTCACCCCGTGCTTCCCGGGAAGCCTCAGGCTGGTTGTGTCTTGCCCCCTGGGCTACGCACACTGGGTCGCAGCCTGTTTGGTGCTGCCGCCCCAGCACTCCATGCAGAAACGTGTCCGTTCCCCGCAGGGGAAGCCTCACAGGGCGTTCTCCAAGCAGAGGAGCCTCACTGGGCTCCAGAGTTCTGGGCTCAAACCGATGGAAACCCTGCGGCAGAGCAGTGGTCTGGGCCACCGTGAGTAACAGACAACTGACCCAACCATGTCTTCCAGAGGACCCCGTCGCCCTGCCTCCCATTCCCTGGGGACAGGATAAATTGGACCGGCTTGACCTTGAGCACAAGCATCTCTCCTCTGCTCCCTGGACAGGAGGCAGATCCGTGGGCAGTGGCCAGCGGCTCTCCTCCCGGCCACCCAGTGAGCAGTACAGCCAGCTGGGAAGCCACACGAGCCTGAGGGACGCTCCTACCTCCAAGGCCATTTCCTGGAAGTCACTCCCAGTCCACTGGACGATGTTCCCCAGGATGAAGATGGGGCAGTAGGGATGCTCCGTGCTGTAGCGACAGGTCTTCAGATAGGACTCATTGCTGGTTGCCAGCACATTCATCCTGCATGTAGGGAAGAGGAAAAGCCACCTTGTCTCCCTCTTTGCTTGCCTACACAGCCCACACCACCACGACTGCAGACACAAGACACTTCTCCAGCACCCCTTGTGCACAACAGAAAGTGCACCTTGCCAGCAGCCTCGTCACCCTGCGAGCCTCCCCGCTCTTGGCCCAGGGAAAGCAGTCTGCCCACACAAAACTGACCTCCAGGCCAGATGGGGACTAGATCAGTTGAATCTGGGCTCAAGAAATGACCCACATGGAGCAGGTTGCCAGAGTGCACCAGGGCTATCTGGTTTTCTCAAGGAAAAAAAAAAAAAAAAGAAAAGATGCTAGAAATGTCTAACTGAGCCTGGGCGAATAGCAAGAGCACAGTCCTTTCTACACTTCTTTATTTTATTCATATTGTAGCAGCGAATGCAAACAAATATTTTTAAATTTGCATTTTCCCAGCCTTGTCCAGGCACCTTCATTTTTACGTTAGAGGAGGAATATGTGGGAGCAGAAGCAGCTCAGGAACCTGACTATGCCCTGGCTGGTGGATAGATCCATGCGCTCATGGTGCCTCCCGTGCTGCAGGAGCCATCGCAGACCTCATCTGGTGAAGGACAGCTTTATCCCAGTTACTCTCTGGGAAGCTCCAAGCCCTCATTAGCTCCTTGTTCCCACACAGCTTGAAGCCAAAGGCCTCCCCTGCACCTTAGAAGCGGGAATATCCACCTCCTCAGGCAGGAGAAGGACAGTGGAGCAAACCAAGGTTTCTGTTTCTGTGATGGAGAGGATGGAGGGATCTCTGAGCACCTGCACTTACTTGGAGAACTTAAACTTGGGGAAGCGGATTGAGTTCTTGATGTAAACAGTGAAGTTTTCTGCGCTGGCGAGAAGCGGTGTGCTGGAAGAGAAGGGTTTGTTATCTGTTTTACGTTCGTACCCTGCCCACATGTTTTTTAAACTGGAATTGCCATTTTAGAAACAGCCAGGCTTCACCCCGTGGTGCTACGCCAGCCACGCCACTCTCCGCACACTGCCAGCAAATAGTTGGTGAGAAGCGGGCAGGGTGAGGGGAAGCCCCGGGAGCTGGAAACAGCCCTGGGACAGCCAGTGAGCCAAGCAGAGGGGAGCAGAGGGCCAGTCCTGCCAGGGGGCCATGCAGAGCTCCCGCCTGGGCTGAACAGCCAACGTTCAAGCAAGCGTCCAAGCAGAGGAAACCCAGAAACCACCCTGAGTGACACACAAGCCAAGCGACTCAAGCTGGGAAACAGCACAGGATGGCCACGTACTTGGGCTTGGATCTTTTCTCCACTGGGCACCAGGCCAGTATCTCACAAGTCCCTTTGATGCTGTCCCCATCTTTCAAACAACGGCCTGTCTTAACCCCTGCAGCACAGACATCACAGAAAAGGTCACACAGAGCAGCCACCTCCTCTTCTTGCCTACAGGGCTCACAAAAATCAGACGCTTTTCACTGCCACCCGAAGTCCTCCTCCCTGCTGGGAAAGGGCCTCTCAGCTGGAACAACCGCTCTCTTGTTGCTTCCCTGAGCAGCCCGGGGTACTTTGGCCCAGCCACCACAGAGCTGTACGCATGGCAGCAATCTTAGTAAAAGATAGTAAAGAAAAGAAAGTCCTTGCCGCTCTCTGTCATCAGGGATCTCTGGGGTTGTAAGCAGGCTGATGCCTCTGAAGGAGCCCACCGCTACCACAACCAGTACAGGAGGAGAGACCCTTCCCTTACCATTGCCAGCCACCACTGCTTCCCCCGCCGGGCAGTCCCCGTCCTTGTCACACAGGGCGTCGGGAATGCTGGCACTCTGCGAAGTGGAAGAGGACAGAAGTGAGACCTGTGACAGGACACGAGACTCAGAGGGGTAAGGAAGTGCTGCTGATCTGGGGTGAATCCTCCATAGAATGGTGAACACTGAAAACGTGCAGCTGAAGTGGTAACTGCAGGTCGCGTGCAAACAGCCCGACAGCATCCCACCACCAGCAACACCGTGGTCCAGCTATGCCGTCCTGCTTTTGGGCTCTGCTCAGTCTGGAGAGGGACAGGCTATGGAAAAAACCCAAACAGCATCTACCACTCACCAAAACTGAGGGGGAGGCCACAGTACTTCACCTTAAGAGGTAACCCTACCCATGATTTAAGCTACAAGCTCTCTGAGCTCAACATTACCCTTCTCTCGGCTGCACACCGGGTACATGCAGCCACTAGAGGACAGCCGTGTCCTGAACAAACAAACTGCTCTCGGCCTGGGCTTGTGATACGGAAAATCAATCATTGCTACCTGGAGACAACGCTCCCTGAACCACATCTCCACAGAGGACATTTCAACATGACACGGTTTGAAAGACTTCCCATGTCCTGAAGGTAACAAAAGCCTGAACAAAAGCCCTTCCCAGGATGGGGCTCTTAGAAAGTCCCCTCTACCCATAACTCAAAGTTGTTTTCCCATGGCCTTTTCTGACCCTGAGCAATCACTGCTCTGGTCTCATCTCCAGCTGGGCAGATGTCCAACACCTTCAACTAAAGCCAGCAAGACTCTACATGACCAGTGCCTCTGGAAATTAAGACAGCTGAACCTCCCAGGTTTGCAGTAACCAGTCTGATTTTCCCCACCGAGATATTACACTACAGAGAAAAACCGTTCGCCTTTCATCCTTCCTGTGTTTGTTGCTCCCCGGGTGTCCTCTGTCAGTTCTTACCCCTGGTTTTGTAGGGGTCTGGGGGCCAAGGGGCTCAGTTCTTCCTACCTCAGGACACGTGGCTTGCCTCTGGTTTGGGGTCACAATCAGATTCGTCATGACAAAGAAGACACTTTCACCCTAGAATAAACAAAGTAAGGCAGGAAGTCAGAAAATCTGTTTTACTCCTGAAGTACGTGTTACAAGGAGGATGCAGTTATCTGCAGAACAGTAACACTTCCCTCTCTCCTGATGCTTTTCAGGCTGAGATACAACAGTGCCCTTTGTCTGGATATTTGTCTGGATGAGGCTGGTGGGTCTCTGTGGCTGAAGGGGTTCTGCTTCGGAGACCGCGTTAGTTTGCTGAGCAGGACGGCCGAGCCTTGCCTTGCTGGCTGCTCGGCAAGCGCTTGTCCTCCTATTCCATCAGGAACCCTGATTAGGGATCAAAAGCCCCTGCGGGCGTTTGCTCTCAGCCAGGGTCGGGCTGGACCCCAGCTGCGCTGTTACAAGCCCAATCTCACGGAGCGAGAGCAGGGCACAGTGCAGGATTGAGTGGACACGCAATAAACCAAAACCGAGCACTTCTAGCACGGCTGTAATAGAGAGACTACAGATCATTTTATTGAGCCATTAGGATGACTGTCTGGGATGTGCGAGGAGAGACTTGGCTGCATTTTTATCCCCTAAATCCTTATTTCTGACAGCGTTGTGTTCCTCTGTATTTAGGGAAAGCCACAATATGCATGGCTGACTCCTGTTCCGGAGCCTTCCCTTCTTTATACATTTATAGCTTCTATTTGAGCCCTTCCCCACATTAAGCAAAAAGTTAAAATAATTAACTCTTCCCCATACTGGTTTTCCCTCAACAACCAACCACCAACAGAAACCACAGGAAAAACAAGCCTGAAGACAGTTATACAGTCAGCCAGATGGGAGAGAAAGCAGCTTACCATGGCACTGCAGGTGGAGGCTCGTTTAACACTCGGAAGTGAAATGACTGCAGAAATAAACCACGTGCTTCTACCATTTCTGCTCTGTACCATGCGCAGGTGGGAAAGGGAGGAGGGTCAGTAACAGCACCAGGCTGCGGCTACAGGAACACGGGTCGTCTCTGGACAGCCCCCGGCACTGGGGAGCCTGACCCTCGTCATGCCGAGGGGACACGCACAACCATCAGAGCCAGCCCACAGTCCTGGCACGGGGCAGGGCAGCCCTGAGCATCTTGGACAACATACCCTCACGCACAACAGGAACCAGCGGCGTGCCAGGCCCTGCCACCTGTAACACTGGTTGCTTGTGCGAGTGAGCACCTGGTGATAAAATACCTGATCAGGAGCAAACTCTGGACACCCAACCCCGCAAGGCTGCTTGGATGCTGCAAACCTGCCAGAGAACAAGCCCAGGAGAGCAACAGGTGAAGGATTCACCAGGTGAATCCCTGCTCTGCATTCAGCTTAACCCCAAAGCGCCACTGGTTCACCCTGTCCAAGGGCGTTCTCAGCCCTCACTGTGAATTTCAGTAAGCTGAGCACTGGCTGTTTATTCCGGAGTCTCTCAGAAACCCCCTTCCAGCACACAGCCCTGCCTGCTCCACAGAAGAATCAGAGATCTCAGGTTTCTGTCCATGGGAGCAGAGCTCGGTGCTCTCGCATTCGCCTGGCTCGCTCTCCTACCTTCGCTGTGCTTTATGGGGGGTGGGTTTACCCCACATCCCACCAGCACTTTGGGACACAGGGACGTCTGTCCTCAGCAGAAAGGACATGTCGGTCAGCAGCCGCACTGGTGGACTCTGGAGAGCTGCCCAATGCTCTGTGGAGGAGACGGGGTTTCTCCCAGCCCTCATGGCCTCCTGCTCCACTACCCGGGTCTCTCCAGCACAACCAGCCCATCCAGCCCCACCAGGACAGCGCAGGGCTCTCCCTCCAAAGCAAAATGAGAGATTACGCAGTAGTAAGCAGAGCAAGTCACAGCGCATTAATTCCTAAAAACCCACGTGGGACGCATCTCACGGCTGACCTGAGATATTCAGTGGATGAACAGCACATGGAGCAGGAAAGCTCATGAGATGTCTACGTTTGCGTTCACAATCCACAGAAGTGGCTGAGTTCCACTGTGAGCCCAGGGTCTAACATCACCAGGGCTGCTGGAGGCTGATGTACGCTGGGGCAGGCTGCAGTAGTGCTGGATTCAATATTGTAGACTGATTGCCCAGTCATGTTTGGCTTCATGATGCCACAGCCCAGACATCTGCGTTGCAGAGCACACCAGCCCAGAGGCAGAGACAGCTATCTTTACTCAGTAAGTCAACAAGCAGTAACAAGAATATTGAGTCACAGGAGTAACATCTGACAAGTTAAAATACCGGTCAACATCATCATTTCATTTTTGGGTGTAAACACCAGCCACCTGCCAAGCATCCCACGGCTTCAACACAGCTTGAACAAGAGGCACCACAAGCACAAGCACGCTGCCTGGCTTTCCTGCTGCACAGCACACGTTGGTCTGAGACCAACAGCTTGCAGTGAGGCTTTGCATTGAAATTGGTGGAGCTGCAGAGCACAGATCCACAGGTAAACACAGGCTGCAGAAGGAGGAAGGTGAAGCCTTATTTTATGGACAGACAAGTAAATTGTTCCATTTACTGCTTTCTGCCTCCTGTCAAGCACAAGACCCTGATTTTCCCCTCACACCTTTCCATGCACACGTGGTGGACACTAGCAGGGAAAGCACAAACAGGCCCTGGCAAGCACAGCTGGGCAATTTCCAACCTGGTGCCACATCTGCTGCCGTCTTTTCCCCTTAAGCACCAGCTATGCATCTCACTGTCCAAGTCAAGGAAGCAGCAAGGCAGGTTTAGCCAGACACATTTCAAGCAACCCTCATCACTCAAATTGCACCACGTTTTCTTTCCATGTCCCAGCCCCTCTGGGCTGCCCCATGCATGCCCGCTCTAGCTCACACTTTGCTCAGCTGAGCAGTCCCACTGAAGTCCACAGGACTTCTTGGCAAGTTCCACTTGCCAAGTATCATGGACCTTTGTGAGAGAGACAAGGCTGCTTTCATATTTGCTGAAAAGACCTAAGAGAAGGCACAGCGCTGTTTCCTTGTAGCCCACCTCCTGCTTATTCATAGGAAAGACCTGGCTACATCACTGCAGCCTTTCCACCAGCAGCCACGCTGGAAGATGTCTTTCTAGCTGGATGGCAGAGACGACAGCAGCAGGGTGATGCCAACCTGTGGAGGGATGACGTAGTCTGCAACATCCCACAGCCTCTCCCCCAGCTCTGAGGTGTTGGTGAAGGCTACCCCTTTCAGCTTGGTGATGACAGAGCTCTGGAGGGATGTGTCCGTGTCCTGGTAGCCTTTCTTGACAACAAACACCCACCTGTAAAGACACAGCAGGCAGCAGCATTAGTAAGTGGGGTCAGGGAACAAGTTAGCCAAAGAAGATTTACACCAAGGCCAAACACCATTCAAGGGCAAATCAAAACATGCCTGTGATGCCAAACTCTCTGCAACTACTACTACAAATTTAGAGTAAACTCTTTGACACAAGCTGCACCCATCTACAGTGCAGAGAAAGAGTCAGGACCAAGACCCCACGTGCAAGGAAAGGCGTAATAACTGGTCACAGGATAAAACCCCAAACCTTCCACCTCCCTGTGCTGTGCTTAGCAACTTCAGTGGAAACAGGGGAGGATATCCTGTGTTCTTCAAGGTGAAAAATAAAATAAGCTTTTGCAAGTCGCAGTGAAGAGTGTGGTTGGTTTCACAAATATCTGAGTCACTCCCATCTCAGCACCTGCCATTAGGCTCCCAGTCCAGCAGCAGACCTTGGCTGGAGAGGTGCAACTCCTGTAGGTGACCTGGATATCACCAACAGAAATCTGTAGGGAATATTCTCAGCTGGATACAAGATCTTTTGTAAGCCAGTGCGATGGTAACAACCCAACTGCACCCTGGCCTCTGCACTGGGCTTCAGGCTTCTTGCTGGCACACCTGGAAGAGCTGCTGCTTTGCTAAGCACCCCAGGGAAAGGTTTTGCTTGCTTCTTCCCACTGGAAACAGCAAGAGGTCCATATTAGTGGGTGAAAACCTCTCTGGGTTAAATGAAATGCCAAGACAACAAATCACGCGGACCCTTGAAGAAGCTAAGGGTGCCGGGGCAGGTTTTGGGGGAGGGACGCAGGCTGCATCTGCTGGCACAGCTCCTCTTTGCAGTGTGCTGACCTGGAGTGCACTACTGCATGCAGAAAGGGAAAGTGGCCAACTTGGGCTGAGCAGCACTGACATATGTTGCCCTTATCTGCTACTTGTGACAAACATGAATAATAACATTCCCCACCACTGTGAAGTTTCCCACTTTCCTATTTTCCCCGAGAACAATGTTTTTCTCTCCCAGGAGGGCTCAAAAGCAGACCCTTACATTTTCCACAGCAAATTGGGGAAGAAACGGCAGCTGCAAGCAAGAGACAATCCAGAGGGGTTTGACGATCACAAGCCCCGCACCAGCCCCTGAACAGGTACAGGTACAGGTACGTGATCAGTCAGACGTCAGGCTACCACAGACCAGCTCTGCGATAAGCCGTGAGCCCCCGGCCGCAAAGGAGTCACTGCAGGCACCACCGGTGAGGGTGCCACAGCTGTGCAAAAGACAATAGCTGCCGAGGGATGAAAATTGTATGGCCCAGACGGTCTCTGAACACTCATGGTCACTGGTCATGCTATATCCCTCTTGGATGGAGGATGTGTCCTCGGCAACGTTATCTACAGGATTCCTCCTTTAGTAGCTGATACATACCAGACTGCTGAGACTTCATCTCTGCGCTGCTAACTAAAGCAGGCTCAGGAACCGTACACCTTTCTATAAATAAATCCAGCATGTAAAAATGACTCTGCTATATTTAATCAGTGAAAACACAGGGTTTGGGAAAGGTGAAGGGACTCAGAAGCACAGACAGTGAAGGTAAAGATTTATGAATCACATTCCGAAAAGCCTCAAACTCAGGAAGCAATGGCACAGGCATCACATAGGCTGGATAATTCCAGGTCTGAGCCTGCAAGCTGCAAGGAGCATTGCTGCATTCCTTACATGTCAGTGTGACCAGCTTCTTGCAGAACTGGGCCGTTTCTCAGAGATGCTCTAGCTATCTCCATGCCAACTCGCCCTGCTCTGAAGCTGACTTTCACGCTGCCTCAACCACCACAATCCTGGCGGCTGCTGCAGCCCGCTCCAGCAAAGAAATCTGCCACTTCGTCCTCGGTTCCCTCCCATTTAGACTTGAGCATGTCATGCAGCCCTGCAGACAACCCAGGTTTGTCCCAAGGCTCAGCAACCATGTCTATAAATGCTGTTGTTTCTAAGAAGTCAGGTATGAAGGTTTGGTCCCATTCCCAAGGAATACAGAAATAAAGGCGTAAATAATGCAGTACAAACCATAGTGCCATTTGATCTATTTTTAACCCTACATTAATCTGGAAGGTAGAGCTGAATTTAGCAATCCCTAGCAGGTAAAAAATCACGTATAAGTCTATTAGATATTGCAAAATCCAGCTGTATAAACAAGCACAATTATCTGCATTAAAATCATAAGGCAGAGCAAGCTGTCACTGTACACAATCTCCTACATCAAACCTTCATCACAACACAGCAAGCAAACACAACTGCAGCAGGATGTGAAATGCAGGGTGATTCTTACCCCACCAGGTAAGCCAGAATGGAGAGCTGCACCACTCGATAGAGAATCCCCACCTTCTTGTTCTTTGCAATGACATATTTCTCCGTTTTATAATCAAAAAGTGATAGAAATAAACCCTTCCAAGCCACCTGCCCCATGCTCCCAACTCGCGCTGTACCGGTGGCTGTAGCAGGCAGCAGTGTTTGCAGCTTGCATTATCCACACGTGCTCTGCTCAGAAACCTGACACACCAACCCCGTCAGAGCGAGAGGCTGATCTCCTCCCTCCTGACAGCAGCTCTCGGGTCGGAAACCAGCAGCTGCACTAACACGAGATCCTTCCTTAGCTGCTTTCCAGCTCATTCACCCTCTGGGGAAGCCCCTGCCTCAGTTTTGCCCCCAAGCTTCATCCTCTCCCCCACAGTCACAAAATGTTTATAGTGAAACATGTTATAGCATGAAGCCGTGTTACAGCATCCAAAGTGACAGAGCTACAGTCTCTCTGTTAAGTATTAAAGCCTTTCTTCAGCCTTTACATGATGGCAAAGCACAAAGTTAAATTTTTAATTTCTTGAGCATTTGCATGAGCAATGAGAATTTGGGTCCTTACCAGTTATCCAAAATACCTGCCTGGTTGCTACATCTTCCCCCCCCTAACTAATAAATAATTTCTGCGTGTGGTTAAGGGATCAATCACCATCACGTCTCGCTACAATCCCAGTGAGTGCTGAGCTAGGCACATACAGATACAGAACATACTGTCTGATGAAATACCAAAGGGAGACGAACAGTTTGATCCTCACTGAGGTGAATTGTTTATTAGCCAGTAGTGCAAGAGATGACTCCCAGTCTAACAGAGACATCTGCGTGTGCAAGGACAGGAAATGATCATTACTTAAACCATGAGGGGTAGACACCGTCGCCTGGCTAAGGAGGGAACGGAACGAGCTCTCAGGTGAAAAATGAAGGAAGCCAGGACCTTCCAGCAGCTCTTTTAAGAGCTAACGTACCTCACCAAGAGGAGATCCAGCAGCAAACTGGGATCCGAACCGAGCATGCCCTTCCTGGGGGATCCTGTACCCATGCACTGACGGGAGATGTCTCCCGGAGCTTCTTCTGGCACGGGACCGCTCATAGGTTGAATCTACGAGAGAGAGTCTATCAGAGACGTGAGGTGGTGTATCAGGCATAAAGTGCAGGGTTCACTGCGTTTGTGCACAACCACTCAATTAGCTCAATTCCTGGGGGATCCTGTACCCGTGCACTGACGGGAGATGTCTCCCAGAGCTTCTTCTGGCACGGGACTGCTCATAGGCTGAATCTACGAGAGAGAGTCTATCATCAGAGACGTGAGGTGGTATATCAGGCATAAAGTGCAGGGTTCACTGCGTTTGTGCACAACCACTCAATTAGCTCATGGGGCTGTGTCAGGACCGGGAAGGCTCTGGAGGTCATACAATATGCAACTGAGATACTCTCTTGAACACGGGTGAAGAGAGCCGGTCACACTATGGAGGCAGCACAGTGAGGTGATCTGCTCCAGCACACACACCTCTGCCCTACGCAGCCCTAATCCCAGGGAGAATCATTCTCAAGATCTCAGGTTTTATGAAAATGTTATCCTTCCCCCTCCTTAAATTCTGTATCAAATTCAAACAGATGGATCAGATTTTTAATGAATATGTGACAAGGTTGCTCCAAATCACAAGAGAATCACAAACAGTGTAATAATGAACAAAACACTGTCCTCAGAATATCTCATCATCCCACAACCATCCCTAGAGCTTCCTTCTGCAGAGCGAAGGAAACCTTTCTCCAGCAACTGCAAAACTAGAACAGAAATGTGCCCATGGCCTCCTTTTAACCCGCTGTGCTCCCCAGCTCCAGCCCCACGGCCGGCAATTGCTTCTGCACGTGGCTCTTTCATGAGGGGCTCCTGGGGTGACGGCAGGCTGCCGAGAGAGTGAGCCCCCCCGGGTTGTTCCTCTTGCTTGGAGTTAGCCCCAATCCTGCTCCTAAACTTCCCAGCTGCCCTTCAGCCTCAGCACAAGCAAAGGGTTGGTCTTGCTCACCTCTCCCGCTCCCCACGTCCCCTCCTTTCCCTATCTGCACACCCCACACGGGCAACCCCATTTTATCTCACAAAACATGTAGGCTGCTCCCCAAGCCCCTCCTGGAGCCTTCTTTTTCTCTCAAGCAGCTGCTGCTCATGGTTTCTCTCTTCCTCAAACAAGAGTTGGCCATTGTATCCACCCCTTCCTTATCAATCAGATGCCTACAAACCAGATTATCACTAGTTCCAGTCTTAAAGATCCTCTGTGTGAAAGCCTGAGCGCAAATAAAAACTCTTAAAACATACAATAATAAAAGGAGACAAAAGTCTCCAAGAAAACACACTTCTGCAAGGAGGAAGGAGACCACAGTGATCCGTGACGCCAGAAATGAGTCAGGAAGAAAGGTAGGCTCAGCCTATCTCCCCTCGCCACTGCTCAGACCCAGGAACCAGAACTGTATGGAGACAGGAGATCCTAAAGGAGCCACAACCTGATCTTCTGCCCAGTCTGCTCCTAGATGAGACACTTTGCAAGCACAAGCTGCTGGGTGACAGCCGAGCATCATTTCTGATCACGGGTCTGGTCTCACAAGAATATCTGCTTGCTCTGGCCCTGCTGGAACTGCTCCGGGGAAGGGACTAAACAGTGAGTATATTCCATGCCTCAGGAGCGCCTCCACCATTGCTCCTGCTGCACTAAGGACACCCAAGTTCATGGACAAACAAAATATCAATGGAGACAAGTCAGCCCTTGGCAGTGTCTAGAGATGCCACTTCTTCATCCCCACCTTCCTTATCTGTCTGGGTGACTGCACCGGCTAAAATCAGCCCAGGAAACTTGCTAGCAGTTAAATAGCGTGTTGCTTCCTGGCCTGGTTTTACTTAGTGGCACAGACACAGGTCTGCTTTGAGTTTTTGCAATTATTTTCCAGGTCAATTAATATGAGAAAGGATTTACACAGGTTTGAAAAAACGTTCTTTCAAGTGAGAAGCGTTCTTGTTACAGGTGTGACCCAAAGATGTTGACCAGGTTTGATCGCTTAAAAAAAAAAAAAGGATATGAAACTGATACTTTTCTTGGTTTTTTAGACCCATCAAGTAAAAGCACAGTTGCAATAGTTGTTTTTGAACAAAAAGCTTCAATTTGTATCAAATGTTCCTCAGAATATTCTGCATACTGCTCAGCACAAGCTAGATTTGTGCTGATGATAGTGCTGTTGGCATGCTCTTGTAGATACTGTTCTTAACACCTCTAGGTTTCAAAACCTTATTTTTTTCCTTGCCTGGAAATCAAGATTACGGGTATGTTTCATCATATCTGTGGGTTGTTCAAACATAAGCAGTTTCATACCCGGGCTGGGGGAGTAAATAATCTAACAGAATCTAATCACTGTCAGTTAAAGACAAAAAAACATTAGTTTTTCTTAGCCCTTCTCAAGGGACCAAGGCTGGATCTCTTCTGCAAGATATCTCCCTTCTTGAGTCCAACATTTTGAATTTCCCATGGAAAAAAAAACAATTCTGGTCCTTTCCCATGAGGGCTACTTACTCAGTCTGGAAATTTCTCCTCCAGCACCAAAACTTTCCCTTTTTCCCTTTTTTTTTTTTTTTTCCCTGACACGTTACACCTATACATAACTCCTCATACTGCTCTCAGTAATTGCCTTCTCATTATTGACAGGTAGAGATAGGGTACACGTCCCTTTCTGCCCAGTCTGCTCCTCAGCTCCGTTTCCCTCCACCCATCAGTAGCTCTTTGGCATTACGCTGGCCCAGAGCTGAACTCAGCCATCACGAACCCGTAAATGCCACATACAAGGGACTGCGGAAAATAAACTTTAGACCCCAGCTCCGACACAGCGGCATTTGCGACACAGCAAGGTCACATCTGTCGCTCTGCAGCATTTGTAGGGTAAAAGCATTGCAAGATCAGCCCAATATTATCTTTAAACCACCCCAAAAGAGGCCACGTGTTTTCCGAGCAGTAGCAGATGGCCCTGGCCGGTACAGCCGTGATTCACCAGTGACTGCTGGAGGTGCCCATTTCAGGCACTTGGTTTTTTTGCTTCCAGTTCCAACCGATCACCCCCAGGCATTCATCCTTTCAGCGATCCCCACTCCACGCTTTACTGAGCTAACAAGTGCAACAGAAAACATCGGCTCCCAAATACAGGATGGCTGACTCATAAGATGCTGAGATATTTCTGAAGCACTAGAAATGCTCCTGCAGCAAATGCCCGAGTGATGCAGATGCATCATCTTTTAGAAATAGGCGCCAGACCAGCTACTGAAATAGAAAGGAGACAAGGAGCAGAGGATGTAAATAGGAGATAAACTATTTTGGCAAGGAAATGAACAGTGGAAAAGGCAGAGCTCAGCTCTCTCCACTAGTGTGTTTTTCTCATAGTGTCATACTTGCAGGTCAACATCTTAAAAAAAAAACAAAGAGGAAGAGCTGAACACGTTGAAAGAGGAAGTTGCTTTAAAACCACAGCTCGCACACACGGAAATCAGCAACATCAAGCATAAGCTGCTTTCTGAAGATGATACGTTTGGATGCAAGAAGGAAGAAACGTGTGTGCAGCCTGCGTGCAAAATGCTGTGTTCAGCTTGTAATCCTCGCTGTGACTTAGCAGTGTAAATAAGAAATAGGTTGCTACTTGCCAATGAAAAATTGACAAAAATCAGCCTCAACATTTGTCCTCCTAACTAGGACCCCAGCCACAATGGAAAAGGAAATTTTTCTTTCAGGAGCTGTTAGAAAAACATTCAGGGTTTTGTTTTTTTTCTTTTTTTCCTAAAAAGGGAATCTGTGGAGTGAGTCTTTCTGTCATTATCCACAGGAACATCCAAACCTGTCTGTAGGAGTGAGAAATGGATGCGTGCTGAAGTTCCAGCATATATTCTCTTTGATTCAGCTCATCATTTCCAGTAAAGCAATTTTCAGCCTTTGAATGCATTCCAGGTTTCTTCCCCAAGTCTTGAATCTCCTATACAATGTGCAGGAGGTCTTGTTATCATTAGCCAAAGTGTTTATCCACTCCTCTCTCCTAACCCAAGAAGTGAAAGTGCTTGAGGAAGAGGACCAAAGAGAGGGAAGAAAAATACTGCACTTCTAATGAAACTGATCTATCATGCCCTGTTCTGA